CCTGGCACCTCCTCTCCTCTGTGAGTGATTTGCAGTGCCATGCTGTTCCAATCACAGCTGCTCTGCCCCGTGGGCAGGCAGAGCCCTGCCAAACAGGACATTAAGAATTCCTTAAGGACATTCCTGCAGCACTCCCAGCTGTTGCACTTCTGCTGGGAGAATTTAAAGGTATCTTGTTAAAGATGTAGCACAGTGTCAGCATTAACAGTTTCTTCCTGTTTTGCCTTGCAAAGTGTCCCGTCCTACAGAGCTTTATTAATACAGGTTGAAAATTCCAGATTTAAAAGCTAATTAAATCCCACTTAAAGCTTTCACAGAGGGGATTAGCTGGAACTTGCCCACTGCTTATGCTGCTGTTTGGTTTGTGTGGGGAAAATACAACTAAAAACACCTTTCCCAAGGAGACTAAACCAAACTTTACACGTTTGCACACAGAGAGAAATAATTTATAAAAATAAAACAAACCAGTCCACACCACCACAGTGAGCCTCTGGTTACAGCCAGTGCACAATGCCTGTGAAATACCAAACCTTCAAAGATACCAATCCAGAGCTTAGAGAATTTTCCATTTTACGTCTGAAAAATTAAAATTATACTGTACCAGTCTTAAGAGGAATAAATGGCTTAAGAGGAATAAAACTTGTATGTACTGTCATTGGCCTACATATAAGAAAATATATAAAGATAAAATTATCTACATTTTTAGATAAAAAGCAAATATATTGGAGTATAGCAGTATCACCCAATGCATTTGATTTCACTCACCTGTCACAAAATGTTGTATGGAAGAGCATAGGCAAATTAAACATTTTTCTATTTTACAGAAAGGACAAATTCCATAAATATGTTCATTTTTACATTTATTTGACAAAATAATGTACACAGTATTAATCTTTGCAAAATAGTAATTGTGTATGCACAGTGGATGGTTTTGAGACCAGAGTTAGGGACACAGTGTGTGACAACATTGCACAAACAGTTCTTCCACAGAATCTTAACTTTCCAGTATTAAAATATATAAAATAGAATGTGACTCTTATTTGTTGTGGTGAGGTAAACATTTCTTCCTTCAGAGCAGTGTGGCTTTGATGCACCTCCAGGAAAGCTGCTAAGGATACCCTTCTCCATTCTGCCAATAACTACAGACCTACAGGCAAATTTATTGCTCTTCTAATGGTCACACATTTTTTCCTTGAGCAATATGTAGAGAAAGGAATGGAGAAGGAAAAACCTGCAGGAATTGATGATAGCAACCCATCTGCACTATTTGTGTCAGGAACCAAAGATTAGTGCAGATAATTCATTTTGAATGTAACAGTTTTAATGGAAATGTCAAGAAAAATTTATTTACATTTTTCTAAGCAGAGCACGGTATTGATTAGAGCTGCTCAAAAAAATCACAATTAGGAATTTATTTCACAAATTTTTATATCTCTGCCCATTTACAAGACCAGATCATAATGTCCCCTCATTTGTTCACTGTTCAAATTTATTGATGATTTTCAGCACATAATTCCTGGGCAGAGTGAGATTTGTACAAAGTTCTTTAGTTACACAAGATCTTTAGTATTGTCTTCTGCTCCCTGAATGAATGATTTGTGTAACTAACAGCTTGAATTTTGAAATATAATTCATTTTGATTATATTCTACAAAAGAGAATATAATCAAAATGAATCTTGGTCAATATCTGAGTCCTGAAAATTAGGGGGTTTTTTTCTTATACATATTGCTACTGATGCCTGAGAAGTCAAAAACTTAAAAAATTGAAAAGTTCATTTGTGTTTTATTCCCAATAAATTTGAAATGGTTGTTGGAAGGCAAATCAGATGAAGAATTCTCCGTGCTCCTGAAATAAAACTGCTTCAGTTTCTCATCTTTAAAACCTCAGAGCAGTGACATTCTCACAAAAGAGGTTATTTTAAAAAGTTAGCAGCCATTTCCTTAGTGGCAGAAACATCCTGCTGGAGCCCCCTGGATGGCACTGCTACACCTGGAAATACAGCAGGGCATTTCCAAAAACCAGAAAAGAAATGAATCACATTTCAGTGGTTTAGAGGCACAGTAAGAGTGGGAGATCCTTTCACTATCAACTTCTCAGTCCCTTTTCCTATTGTGAGGTATCCATTGGCATCAACAAAAGAGAATCACCTTAAGGCAAAACCAGTGGTTTCCAAGTAAAGAAAGTAAACATCATTCATTTGAATAAAAATAGATTGTAAGCACAGCTTTTTACATTATTGTAAAAGTCCATAAAAAATATAAAGCCACAGTTAGTTTTCTGACTCTTTACAACATAAAAAGGCAAATGAAAATATTGTGAAATAGGTGACCTAGAAGTGTTTGATTAAGGAACAATTCTGTTGGCAGAAGTCAATTATTACTTATTTTGTCTTATCATGAGTTTATCAGTGGCAATTTAGGAAGGAGAGACAAAAAAGAACTTCAGGGAGTGAAGTATTACTTATTACAGCTGTGACTAACAAAATTACCAAAATTAGACAAAGACATACAAACTTTTGAAGATTGTAGCTGCAAAATTTCTGAAGGCCAACTTGCAAGCTATGGCCTGGGTTGGCCAGGTATCTCCAGTTAAATCCTGACCCCTGCTTGGGAGAGCTCTATGAATCCTCTGGGACAACAGCAGGAATGATACCTTGTGAAACACAAGTTTTCCATGAGAAGAACCTTCAAGGTGTTATTTTTTGGCCACACTTGCCACTGCCTTCTTTGCTGCATCCTCCAGGTCATTGGCAGACGTGATGGGGAGTCCACTTTCACTCAGAATCCTCTGGGCTTCCTGGACATTTGTTCCTAAAAAAGAACAATTATTGACTATAATTACTGACTATAATTAGTAATTAATATTAATGAATAAACACCTCCTAGCATACCTCTGAAAAACCAAGTAATGCCTCAAACTACAGATCATTTCAGTTTAGCAGCAGATCAAATGAGCGCCTTAGACTGAGCTGAGGAGAAGGAGCTTCCTAATTCCTAATTGCGACAGACAATGCAATCTGAAAACGGCATTTGTGTGCACAACAGGGGCTTGGTGGAGATGAGAGGGGCAGTGCAGCATCCCCCAGAGCCAGCAGGGACAGCCAGCAAGAGCTCTGGGGAACGGACCCCGTGCCAGGCTCTTTTCAAGGCATTTATTAGCCACAGCCAGCTACAGCTAATCAGTGAGTCAACAGTAACTGAAATTCACCTGTGATAACTGAAAGCTGCCAAATGAGCTGTTGAAAGGCAAAGATTTGGGTAATCCTGAATATTTAACCAGGTGTAAGCTGCTCCTGAATATGCTGTTGCATTTTTACTAAAAACAGGGAATACAAAGGTCCCTGAAGTAATTCAGCATGACACCAATCCCTCCTCTGCTGCTGCACTAAATTTTTATAATCACAGAAACATTTAGGTTGGAAAAGACCCTTAAGATCTTTAAATATGACTAGAAACCCAGCACTGCCAAGTCCTCCAATAAACCATGTCCCTGAGTGCCATGTCCATCTCACCTCAAGGAGAAAATATGATTATACAGAACAAGGGCTGCAGTTTGTATGGAAAAAAACTCAACTTCAGTCAACAGACTAATGCAAAGGAAAGGAAAAAATCCAAAGCTGAAAAATATATTTCAGGAAAATACATTTTCTCCACTTCCCTTGTCTAAAAGACAAGAGCATCACCTTCCCATTTACTCTATCTCATTCTTTTTGGAAAACTGAGACTAACAGAAAATCTGAATTCTCCAGAGCTCTCTGCAGCAAAGCCAAGAGACATTTTTGATCACTGCTGTTCTCTGCACCACAGAAGAACCTGGAGTCAGACACCTACTGAGCAAGCAGAATCCACCCTTTGGGGTCACACATTAGTCACAAGCACCCTGGGCTGGGCTCTTTAGAATAATTTCTGTCCTCCCCCATGTCAGGTTCCTTGCTCATTTGCCACACCAAAATGCTTAATTACTTTGTAATTCCTCGACCTAGCAAAATGAATTTTAATTCTATTTGGAGCTATACACTAATTATACCCTTAATTATTAACCAAGCAAGAAGCATTCTCTTTACTGTGCAACTACCAGTATGCTCATTTTAAAGGATAATTTTTCTTTTTTTTTTTTTTTTTTTGCAGACTTCATAAAACATCTGAAATGGCACCACAGAAGCAGAGCCATTTCAAAAGCCTGTTTCATCAGCATGCTCAAGAAATCAGGATTGCCACTCCTGGAGTTGAAAGGGAGCAAAGGCATCCCTGTCACAGCACTTTGTGATGGGAGAGGCAGGATCAGCAAGAGGAATGTGGGACCCCTCTGCTCCCTCTGCAAAGGCTCTGGCAGAGCTGCAGGGTTTGTGTAGGAAGGTCAAAGGCATCTGAAATCTTTGACAGAAGGGGGATTTGGTTGCTTAGTAACACCCAGAACTGTACAGAACTTTTTATAGAGAAAAAAAATATTATGGGGAAAAAAAGAGCATAATATTTGATTTTTGTTCAAGTATCCTATATAATATAATGTGGAGGCTGCTACTTGTCAGCCCAGCAGTGCACAAGGAAGGCAGGAGCCATTCCCAAAGCTCTGTTCTCTTTGGAGTCCCTCACATTTTTACAGTGATTCCCAAAAGGTTTTGCTTTTTACTTAGACACAAGTGTGATAAACATTTAAAACAGTCAAGAATGTACTGATCTCTCAAGCAGGATTCTACAAGACAAAGTGTTATGAGGAGAAAAAATGGAAAGAGGGAAATTTTCCTGGAAATTTTCCCACACAGAAAACAAATATTGTGGTTTTTGTGATAACCATGTATTTAAAACTAACTTTTGTTCTTCACTAAGTGGCCAATATTAATTTACTAACGGGTCAGAGAGAGAACAATGCATTGGATCTGTTCTGCACTGCATTGATTGCTCTCCCCAGCACTTGTCTAACATGCATTACAAAATCAATACAAAACACAAGCCCCTGAGAAGGGAGGGGGAGTTTATGCAGGGAAATGAAATGATGAAAGCTGAAAAAAAAAAAATCCGACTGCAGACAAAAGTGTATGAGTACATTTTGTATTTCTTAAATAAAACACTTTTATAGGCAGGCCATACAACTAACCACACTTTTCAGCAAGCACTCCCTTTGCTATAATTCTCTTTTATTTGTGATAGCCTTTTATCTCATTGTGATTAAGTATTTTAGGTATGCAGAGAATATGGAAATTATAATGAACCTGCTAAAAGCAGAGGTAAAAGATGTAAAATTAAACATTCCAAAAACACTGGAAACATTTAGGAATCTACAAAGAATACCATCTTGTTGCAACAGATGTTAAAACAAACAAATAAAGAATCCCACTCTTCCAGCATTAACCTCCTGCCACTGGATGGTGTCAGAGAACTGTGAACAGAATCCCATATCCAGGGATATCAGAATATCTGCCCTTCCCTTACCCTGCAGCCAACTGAGAAAAGGTGAAAATTCACAGGGCTGGAGGCTGTGGGGCTTTTGCTGGTGCTGGGTTTTATTTTTTAACTGGATTCTATGAAGAGAATGGCTTTCTAATTAGAAGTTTTTGTCTTTTGACATATATTACTGTCAACAACACTCCCCAGAAAACCTGGAAAGATGTAATTTTATCAGCAGGCACCTTCAGGCTTTGTAATCTAAACATCCTCCTGCTGAAACCTGGCTTCTGGAACAATCTCTGAGTCTGTGTCAATGCAATCTCACATTTACACTTCTGTGGACCTGAAATCTCTGCTACCAAATGTACTCAACTCATTACCAAAAAACTCCTAATAATAAATGTTCTGTCTAAGCATGTCACTACCAGTGGTAAGGTTACACCAGCACTCACTGGGAGAGGCTGGATGAAAATCAAACCAATAAAACACAACCACATGCAGGATTTGGATTATGTTCCCTTACTCACTTGGCCTGCCATAAACCCATCAGGAACTGGCTAAATGGTCACTGCTTAATGCTGATGCTTAGAGAGGATGTAGGATTCTGCAGTGCCATTCCTGGCTCTTTAGGTAAATAAGTTATAAGGGATAAGACACTGTTATATACATTTGCTATGTGCTAACAAATAGATGAATAATACAAAAATATTTCTGATTAACCCAAAACATTCTGCTATGACAAAAAAAATCACAATATGCATAATTTCAATTATTATTAGTGACATGAGCACAATTATATACATCTGCTATGTGCTAACAAATAGATGAATAATATAAAAAATCCTCTGATTGACCCAAAACATTCTGCTGTGACAAAAAAGTCACAATATGCACCATGTCAATGATTATTAGTGACATGAGCAGGTTGTGCCCATGGTACAGGATCCCTAGCAGGGGTCCAGTTTGGCCATGCTGAGTGCACTGAGCCACAGGGATCTCCCCCAGCAGGGACCCAGGCAATGAATGCACTCCTGTCTCCCCCCAGCCTGGAAAATTGGGGCCTCTCAGGTCCCAATGACAGAATTGGAGAATCAGGTTTGAGGTTCATCACTAGTTAACCTTCTTCAACAACATTTGATTTGAGGTTTGGCTGGTGCCAAGCTCTAATTAGTGACCTTTAGGTAGGGAACATACAAAGTTTTGGTGGCTCACACAGCTCACACCTGTTGGCTCTGCAGTCAAGAATAAACCAACTTCCACTGCCTATCTGTAAAAGACAGTTAAACTCTATTTTATCCACTCCATTTGCCCTTTCCTGCTTTAAACTTTCCCCAAAGAATATGTAACCTCTCCCTCTGCCTCATGTTTACATCCTAACAGGGAAGGGCACATTTAAATTTGTGCTGAATGTTTAAACCAAGATCTCTGAATAGGCTGATCTGAATGAAGCTTTAAGTGCGACTTTGCAAAGTCCCATTCTTCTCTCTTGACAGGCAGTTTGGGATACTAAAAATCAAAAAATCAGGCACACATAACTAAACTATACCTGCAAACAAGATACAAGCAAAATTTCACGTGCGTGTAAAAGATTTCTGAAGATGCTAGAATATCTTAAGATTCTGAAGAACACACAAGGTCACTGATCACATGAATGGAAAATATAAAAAAATTTTGCATTCAGACATGTGAATAAAAAGCAACTTGTTTCTATCTGAATTTCAACATATTAAGTATGATGATTCCTCCCAGTCCTTCCTGTCCTATGACCAGAGAAGGAGAGAATTCACTTTCTGAAAGAGAGAGGATGTAAAATTTCCAGCATAGGAAACAGATATCTAATTCACAATTCTTTTTTATTCTTCCCTCTTTTCATCTAACTCTGAACTACATAAATGAGAAGCAAGGCTTGGCTTCCCTTCAGCACTCCTAGGCAGTTTTCACAAAACTTAAGTGAAAAGCATTACATTTTAAAGGGAAAAGAAATCCTGCATAAACCCAGCAGCAGTTACTTTTCTATCTGTAGAAGATGAAATCTGGAATAGTTGGATTCTCCATTTGTCCATGAGCTTTTTAAACAATAATCCTGTGTCTCAGCTGGTGAGTTCTTTACTGATAAGGCAAGCAAACATATGTAATTATAAAGTTACCATTTTCAAAGAGGAGAGTAATCCTTTCTTTATCCACTGGTAAAACGGCTTGTAATTATTATACAGCTGAGAACAAAGATTTGTCCACAGAATCCTACTAAATCAAGACAGATTTGACTGATTAAAACTCTAGTCATCAAGACACTTGTAGTACAGTGCATGTGGGCAAAGAGACTTTAGAGTGCAGGTCACAAATCTGTTAGATTTATGGGAATAATCACAAACCTTCTGCTGGGAAAATGTTCAAAATGGAAACCCAAAAGAGTGCTTGTTCCTTTTTCTCCTTTTGAACTGTAAAATGTAATCAGTGATGTTTTAAAAAGTCTTGGGTAGTCTTATTACTTCTACGGTGCTCATTATTAATTCAAAATCCTTATAAGTTGAAATAACCTGGTGTGAGTTCAAAGAACAATGAAGATGGTAAGGGATCCAGAGGGATTCATTTCTGAGGGAAGATTAAAAGGACCAAACACACATGTATTGCTTGGTTAAGTGATTAAGGAGGCAGAGAAAACAGCAGTGACTTGCTAACAGTTCTGAAGGTTATAAACATCACAGCTCTTTGTATAGGATGAACATGAGGAATATGAGGAGGAATTAAAAAAAACAGATAAAGATTATGCAAAAGCGGGAGTTTGCTGTATTATTCTGTGAGAGAGCTTCCTAAAGAAAATGTGGTACTGCCATTTCCAGAGTCAGCAACCAGCCTGGGAGAAACATTATCACAGCTCTAGTGAAGAGTGAGCAGTCCTGGGAAGATGGTAACCCAAAGATGTTTGCATTTAAGTCTGTATTTGACACTCTGGAGATTCAGCTTTGATCTCTGTGGGTGGAGCAGCAAATGACTGAAAGGTCACAGGCACCTCTGCAGGGCTTTCACTCCTCTGTACAATCATGGAATTACCAAAATTACAGGAGAAAGGCCAAGCAAACACAGTGGCAGACCCAGCAGCCTGCAGTTTAAAATGACCAAGTTGCTCTTCATGTTTCTTTTCTAACAGTTTCAAATATCACAACAGAAACATCTTGTTCACAGGAAAAACTAATGGCTTTGGCAATACCTTCACTTAAAAAGCAGCATTTACAACAGCTGAGAAGTCTCACAGATCTGACAGATAAACTTTTTCCCAGCTGTGAAAGACAGGAAAAGTTTTTTTTGCTATGACAAAAAGTGAAACAGCATTGCCTAGAGCTGATAAACAATGAGATTTTATATAATGAAACTTTTCTGCTTCCAAGCAACATCCATCAGTCTCCTTCATCCATATTAAACTTTTTACTCAGTCTCTAAAGGTGTTGACTGGTGCTACACCATCCAAAGAAAATTTTCACAATTTGTTTCTGAAATCCATTTTAGTATTTAAAGTTCCAGCAGAATCCATGCTAGCACGTGTAGTGCAGCATGAGAATGAGGGAGGGGAAGGCTCTGCTTGCTCCTGAAACACAAAAAGAGCATCCCCCTAAGCCAAAGGCTCCCTGGGCACTCTGCATCCTCAGGAATCCTGAGGAGGGCAATTTTTGGAAAGTAAAAAGCCTGATGTACTCAGAACATGTTTTCCTCTCCCCATCACAGTGTGAAAACCACCTCAGTATTGCATCTCATGTCCATACAGGGATGCATTTCTTCCTTCTTCACCATTGCAGAGTGACAGGACATTTTATGCTCTTTACACACAGACAAACATGAATATGGATGGTTTTGAGTAAGAGGCCTTAAAACCCATCCAGAAATCCCTCTGTTTTCCAAACCTACTTGGCCAGAATGAAATATTTTCAGCTTGCCAGGGCTGTGTGCTGATTGCAATCAAGGCACTTTTCACTCAGAGGCAGAAGCCTCTCCCTCCTTCAGGGCACTTCTCAGAAATTACAGGCAGAACCCCACACCCACTGCCATCAAAGTCTGGAACTGCCAAAGAGAGCTTGTCCTCCCCTCTCTATGGCTTTTTTGTTTCTTGTGAAACAATGCTGGATGCACTAAACAAAAATATTCCTTACCATTACCAAATCTTCTGGTTTTTATTGGATTTTAGTTGGATTGGGGTCTGGGCAGAGGAACGCATTACAGTAATTTCTCCCTCAAAAATACTGTTTCTAACATCTTTCTTTTAATTGACACTGGTGTAAATTAAAAAAAGCTATATTTTGCTGCAGGTTTAGCAATAATGGAATTGCATTCAGTAAAAAAAAAAAAAAAAAAGAAAGAAATACCTCCCAGTAAACATAAACTTGCATCAAAATAATTCCTATTTGCATTGCAAATCTTACAGGCAAACTCATAACGCTTCCATTGCAAAATTTCATTGCTTCCAGTACCATCAGGGTCCATAAATGCAGAAATATGAGTTTATTGACTTCAGGTTGTGCTATGGCTGACGAATTGGACATATTGTGTGGGAGTAATATGTAAAATAATTTCTTCTTTAGAAGAAGAGTGAATTACTGAGACCCTGAGGGATGATTTTGTCTGAATCCAGCAGCACTCACCTTCCAGCCTGACCACCAGAGGCACTTTCAGCTCGAGCTCTTGGCAGGCTTTGGTGATACCATTGGCTATGATGGCACAGTTCACAATCCCACCAAATATGTTCACAAGGATTGCTTCAACCTGTAGGAAACAAACCAAGGAGGAATTGAGTGGAGGCATGTTTAAGTTTTAACTTTGTTTTTTAAATAAACACAGGTAAAAGATCCAAACCAGGATACCAATCCCTCTCTGTCAGGCAGATCCTGATTTATGGAAGGTACAAGTTTCACCTCTGCACTCAGAGAACTTGAGTCTGAGTCTATTATTGCTCCTGTGTACAGCAGTGATTAATTGTCTTGGTCTAAACTGGCATGGTAATTAATGTCATAATTAAAGTATTTACAAAAAAAAGGACTTTCTACCTATAAATATAAATAAAAAGACCTTATACAAGCTGTAGTTTGATTATTTTTAAAATGTATTGAACAATCATCAGAGGCTGGAGCTCAGAAAACACAGGGCATGAATGTGATGTACATGCAATGAAATATTCATGTGGACACTTCACTAAACAATCTGGATCTTCACTTTATCACAAGCACGACAGAGGAAAAGGTAATAAACTTGCCCTGACTTGATAAAGAGGAGTAAAAATCCCTTCTAATTAACAAGGAGAGGCATGTAATGAAGAGCATTCATTACAACAGGTTAACTGATAACCTCAAAAAACTGCTATTCATCAGTTTCTGGAAACTGCAATTTCTCCACCCGATTCACAATTAAATTGCCCTTCACAACACACAAGACATTAATACACAAAAGATATAAATATGATTTCTTTGCATTTGGTTAGGCAGCAGAACATGAACCCAAGCCCATACTCCAGGCTCCCAAGCACGCCTTATCACCTTGAGGACACCCCAGGGATGCAGCCCTGCTGCTCCTCACCCAGCCTGGGGCTAACCCACAACATTTGGGGTGCTCCACAAGCACCTTCTCTGGGTGTCACAAACGAGCTTTGCCAGAACTGTGTTGACTCAAAACCTGAGAGGACAAAGAAGGGATTAGGTGTGAAGGAATGAAATATCACTGCACTGCACTGGTGCAGGGTGTCAGCTGCAATTATCTCAGCTCACTGCACCACAGCAAGGGATTCACCCTGCCCAGCCCCAGCCAGGCTCATGCCAGCACCAGGAAAACTCCCTGAGGCCACCCACAGTTCATAGCTCTGCACAATCAGGTTTTACACCTCTCCACAGACAAAATGTGACAATTCACTCCTGCGATGTGCACTCACACACAGCTCAGCACTGGTGGCAATACTGCCATCCACAGTGCAACAGGAAAACACCACATCCCAACAAATGCTTTACTTCCCATAGGACAGGGACACCTTTCACTAGACCAGGTTGATCAAAAGATGATCCAGTGCATTTTGAGTTCATGGAGCCTGTGTATGGCTCATGGCATGGCTTCCTCATCCCAGGTAGAGTACAGGCACCAGAAGGAAATTTATAACCCAGTCAAACAAGAACATACAATTTAATTGATTTTATAACTGTTCCTTATACTCACATTAAATACATGCATTTACCAGTTAAGGGTTTTGTGGATTTTCAGTTGGTGATGCCATTGCAGTAATTTATTTCACCTTTGTGTTACAAAGTCCTTAACTCTGCAGAAGCTACCAAGATTAAAACCATAGAAGGCCCTTTCTCTGCCTTGTTCCCACTGTTTGTGCACACACAAATATTCCTGGTTGTCAGCAAGTAAAACCTAAAGGAAAAACAGAGCCCTTCCAGCTCTTATCCCATTAACCCTTATGGCAGAGATGTCTCTACGCAAAACACTTTGGTGTTAGAGCACCCTGGTGATGGATTCTAACAGAGGGACACACCACAGACAGCACTCCACCCTTCCTAATACATCCTCCTAATTCAGGGACATTGCAGCAGACATGTGACTGATCAACTCAACCAAGTGTGTTTACATTAGTGGAGATAAGGAGGAGGATTTTATGCCCACTACAGATATTTTAATTCCTAGCGCAGACTTTTTCATTTAGGGATCTGCTTTTCAGCTTTCAAGCTGAATTCTAATCATGTCTTCTAATCCATTGGCAGCAAGAGGAAAAAAAAAATGAAGGAAATTAGATGCAGCTTGGATAATTGATGTTTGTATGCTTGGCTTTAATAAAAATACACTGTTAAATTAGAGAGGAGTCTAAAAGGATTCAATCAATAAGAAACTGAATCAGGTAGGGAATTCAATCTTGGGTTTTATACTAATCTTCCAAATAAGCCAGAAGATCAGTTCCAATGATGCTGAGATTCACTTTAACTCTGCTGAAATCTGTGAACATTGTTTATATATGCTTCTGTAGCCTGACTAGATCCTGCATTTCCAGCTGAAAGAACTTTAGCATTCAGACACAGTGGATGGATGAAGGGGTTTTCAGTGTTTCATGTGCACTGTCTCTGAATTACTTAAGGCTGTGAGAAAAATAAACCTCCTGTAGCATATCAGAACCATTATATACCAACATGCTCAGCATCTAATGCCTGTGGACTATCAGACATACCAAGGAGAGGGCAAACTGCCTGCATGCAAGACAGGTTACTAAACAGCATCACTATTCTAATAACTATTTTTACCTACCAGAATGCCTTATAAATGTTTTTTTCTATTCCAGCAACATTGCTAAGGAAACAAACTCACTGCCAGGCATTTGTTCCTTCCCTTGTCCCTCCAACAGAACAAACACCAATGGAAGGATATCTCAGCTACTCAAACATGTCCCAGATTGGGGGATGCTCACACTGCTGGGTGCTGGGACACAAGCAATGAAGATCCAGCCCAGGGAGGGACAGAAAAGGTGCTGTCACCCACAGCTGGACACAGACATCCAGTACTGCAAACATCCAGAAGCCTGACAATCACTGTCATGTACAACTTTCATATTCCCATTCTGATTTTCAGAGATGTTTTACACCTCAGATCCCATGAAACCCCAATTAAAAGAAGGGCATTGACTTTCAAGAGGTAAATAGCAACATTAGGAAAAATCCCCAAACCACTGGGTAAAATGGGATACATAGTTCTTCACTTTGAGCCTAATATAGTGCATTTAATCCTTCCTACTAGTCCACTGGTGTTTAATATTCATTCATTCATACTTTACCAAACTTGTTTCAATGTGAAAGAAGCAGATTATATTCAATTCTCAATACAAAGTAATAAAATGCCCACAGTTGTGTCTTCACTCTTTATCCTTCTGCTCCAACAGATAAGTTAGATGCAAACATTTTTATGTATCTCTGTATTATTACAGCTTGGACCACAGGTCAAATGTAACTTTTTCTTATTTGGTTTTCAAATATTACTCTAATCCTCTATCTTTTTATATCAGAGAACATTTATGGTTCTTTTGAAAATAAAGATTAAGCTTTCTGTATCTGAGCAGTATGAAAGATTTACAAACACAAAAACATTTGCTTGAAACACCCACTAGAGGACAGTGCAATTCAATGTGGAAAAGGGATATAAAATCTCTTTGGAGAGGAGAGCAGGGTTATTTTTTCTACTTAAAGCCAAACAACATGATTTAAATTTATAAAAATTATGCAGAATATCATTCTGTCTCTTTGGGATGGAACTTTGAAAGTCTGAAAGTGAGAAGTTTAAAAAGGTTGAATCAACAAACAGCAAAGTAGGAAAGCTTGCAGTCAGGTGAAGAAATACTGACACAATGCAATTTTGAATGTCTTGCACTATTCTAAATCAGGTCCAGGTTTATAATTCACTGGCAATGCACCCTGTTGCTCTGGAAGGAAAGGAACTCTGATGAACCTCTAAAACACAATTCAGATTTTTCTGTCTGGGGCACCCCAGCTGCTAGGTAGAAAAAGCAGATTAAGGATTTTGCCCAAAGCTAATTTTTGGTCTGTACTCAAGAGGTTCCTGAGCAATGCAAATCTCCCTGAGAGCAAACACCTGGTTCTGCCACATCCACTGCTGTTTGTGCAGCCCCATTCCTGGATGGCAGGTGAGAGGGCAGTGCCTGGCTGCCACTGGGGGAAGCTTTTCGAAATGCATCTCCTTTAGTGCCATGCTCAGAGTCCCAAATTCCACATTTTTGCCAAGTCAAAGCTTTGTAGGCTCAGTTTCTGGTGTGCTGAAACAGCCACCTACAGTTTTCAGTCCTTCCTGCTTATAGCAAATCCAGGATCTAGAACAGGACAGGAATTTATTGGCTTTTTCTGGTTTGAAAACAATTCAGCAACAATCCTCTGCCACCTGAGCAGACTCCAGGGAGTGGTCCCTCCTTGGGGTATGAAAACCAGGCAGGCCAGGAGGGATCTGGAGCAGGGAGAGCTCTGGTGCTCTCCAATACCAAGGATACCTCCCAGAATGGACCACCAGGAACATCCCTGCTGTGGGATTTTGTCTCAATTCTCTGTAGCACTGACACAAAAATAAAAATTAAGGGATCAGAGCTCATTAATGGAATGAGATGAAACGATGAGTGGCAAATTACACATCAGAGCAGTCCCCAGAGACTCTCCTTCATTCCTCTGCCCAGCTCCAAGTACTGTATGTTTTGGGAACAGAAATATTCCAATTCCATGCACACAGCCTCTGTCAAATTCCAAAATATCAGGCAGGAACCTCCATTTCAATGAATTTCAGGAAGGAGTCTCACACCAAGCCTGTTTTGGGAAGGTTTCCTCAGCAGCAGGACACACAGCCTGCTCCCTGAGCCCTGGCACAATCACATCCATCACAATAATCCATCATCCCTTGGTCTGGAACCAACTTGAGATGAATTTAGGAAGCTGCAAACCATCCCCTGCCTCCTGTGCCTGTGCCCCCACCTGGCCAGGCCTCAGTCAGGTCCTGCCCAGAAGCCACATCCCCCCAGGTTAATGCAAAGCAGAGTTAATTAATGTTCTTGCACTGACAGGAAGCACAACCAGCCCCTAATATAATCCTTATTTATGATAATAAGGGAAAAGAATAAAGAGAAGGAAAATAAAAGGTTGAGACCACAAAGTACCATTCTGAAGTATACTTGAGAATAAAGACAATAGCCTTTAGAACTGTTTTGGGGATATAATGCAGCAGGTAGTTGATAGAAAAAT